TCTTCAATATTACTTGATGCGTAATCGAAAATGGAGTTTATTAGATCATTTTAGTGTTATAGATTGTTGTGAACAAGTTATAAGTTGAGATATCCTTATGAAGGATAAATGTACTTAGTTTATTCTTTCATTGAGTTTAAGAAATTCAATTACAAGAATAAATTATACGAGACTATCTACCAAATCAAGCCAAAACAAAATTGAATAGATAAGAATGTTAATCAATCTTGATACTTGAGAAAGAATCAAACTTGTTGAAGTTTTTCACTATTTATAAGTATGCTAGAAGATTGATATTTATCATTCATGTTAATTTAGATTTATGATATGTAGATATCATATAGAAGAATATGTACGTTTTTTGAAATATGATTCAAAAAGTAAGTAGAATGATAAATGTTAAATAGGTGTTTCTATTTGTTAACGTAGTGTATTCTTTTATTGAGTTTAAGAAATTCAATTACAAGAATAAATTATACAAGACTATCTATCAAATCAAGCCAAAACAAAATTGAATAGATAAGACTGTTAATCAATCTTGATACTTGAGAAAGAATCAAACTTGTTGAAGTTTTTCACTGTTTATAAGTATGCTAGAAGATTGATATTTATCATTCATGTTACTTTAGATTTATGATATGTGGATATCATATAGAAGAATATGTACGTTTTTTGAAATATATATGATTCAAAAAGTAAGTAGAATGATAAATGTTAAAGAGGTGTTTCTATACTTGCTAACTTGAACAAGTGATGCACGTTCTATATTTGGATAATTAGTTATGATCACCATGCGAGTTTAGTTTGTTAAAAATTCCTACATTATGTTTGACATATTAAGATTAAATTTTTCAAACTGAAGAAAGAAAATTATTCTTTTGCATTTAGTATCCAGTTTTGAACTGTTTACTTAATTGGTGATATAACAAAAGTCCAAAAGATGTGAGATTAGATAATATCACTCTGACAACATAATTTGGTCACATAAATGAAATTACACATATCCAATTATATATGATATTTTGAATCATTTGATTTTAAATTAATTGTCTTGTGTAATGTCATTTATTATGTGTACAAATTACCTTTTATAGTAAAAGCTGAGTTGTTTGATGAATTTTCTTAACTAATACATTTGATGTATTTAGTATTGCGAGAATTAGAGGTCCATACTTCATTATCTCAAGTTTAATCATACCAGATGATTAAAATATACTTCTCAAGTATAGAGTTGAGGCTTTGACGGAGTTCAAAGTTAAAAAGGAAGTTTGAGGTTTTGATAAAAGGTTAAGTAATATTATGATATGATCATGATACTCATTACCTTAATCAAAATAAAATATTATCTATATAAGTTATACATACTATAGAAGTATAGTATTGTACACAGTAAAATCAATTATATGAGATATGTTTGATAAACAATCTTAAGTTATGCCATTTCTTGTCTCCCGTACTGAATGTTCTAATATAATAGTTGATTATATACCATATAAGATATGAGTCAGATAGATCAATAAAATTTACGTGAAAAGTTTGGGTTACCACACTTTTGATGTTTAACATTTGATTAGTCCTTAATTTGTGGAGTATCCAAAGAGTTTGATACTAATTTTATTATTCTTGCGAGACATTATTTTCTCGCAGCACATTAACTTTTAGAAACGAAATGTTTATTTCAAAAAGGTTAGTGGGGGGTAATAAAAGAATGTGAAGTTCAAATCCACAATATAGTAAATTCAACTTATAGAACTTTGATTGTAACCACATGATGATGTGTGTTAGCAATAGTTACATATTATGATGGAAGGATATCAAAGTTGTATTTTGCAAAAGGAGTTAGTTATATGAGATATAATTTTAAACTCTATATGCAATAATCATAAGTGATATACAAGAAACATGAATTTAATCAAATGGTTGATTTTGTCAAAATCATTGAATGTCTCGTGTATTCAGTTTCTTGAGTGAGAGAGTTGAGTTTGTTTTTTGTTCTTTATGTATGACATAATGTATAGAAAGAAAACAAGTACCTTGATTTCATATACTCATTATCGTAGAGTTATTTATTATTCATAAGAGTTAGGAATAGAAATTTGGACTTTAGAAGTCATGATTTATGTGAATAGATTGTATATATTGCTTGGTCAATGTAATACTAAAGTTGTTTAGTATGTACTTGTTGTACAACTATTTCCGTATATTTCACTATTGGATCTAGCTTGGCCACGGAATAAGTACTAGAACCAATCATGCTCTAAGTGTTAAGATCATGTTGAATAACTCATAGTGAAAGTCACTAAATGATAATCGAGAATTTCAACATTCTAATTAGTATGATCGTAGACTTGTACATGTTTTAATCTATCTTTTGAAGATGATAACAATTTGCATACATTTACTCTTAATTATAGTATTACATGTTGGAAGCGTTGCAAGTATAATACTATATTGTAGTTACAACTTGTGCCATTATATCAAATTTTCTAAAAGAGTTTAGAATACTTTTGGATCAAGAAATTCTCTATTGAATTTCAGTTGTTTCCATCATTTGGAAAACTCTATCTCATCAATGATCAGTGATGTATGTGGTTTTATCATTTGATACTTGATCAATGATCCAAATAGAAACCCTAGTTGATTAATTTTCTCTAATGATAAATGTGTTTATCAGTTGGTTTTAGTCTAAGTGGGAGATTTTTATTCAATATATGGACCAAACCTAACTAATTTTGGTATTTCTTTACACAATTTTATGCAAAATAGACATATGGAATTCTTTACCATTCATTTTACATGTTTAATTACATAAATGAATGGTAAAATCCCTAGAATAATATTTGCTTGGAAGAAATCATAAGAGTTATGATAATGAGATTCTTCACACACTTATATGTTATTCTTAAATCATACCTAGTTATAGTATTAACAAGACGGGATATTGTTAATACGGATAGACTAGGACATATTATGCTTACTCTTAAAGTAAGAGTTAGTTGATCTCATTGACTATTGTGTGGCGACGCAAAAGCAAATATGTGGATGCTTGTTGGAGAACAAGTACATTGTATTGGCCTACTTAGAGATTTCCATAAGGTAATCTATTTGAGTGCTAACGGAAATAATCTCTCCATGGCGGTAGTGTAAGTGATCCTTTGACTTGAGATTATAAGAGTCTCCGGAGTGTGGATTACTGTATTCTAGCTCTTTTGGTCCTTAACCTTAGTTGGTGTGCTTTTAGAGTTGAGTATAGTATGAAACATGAAAGGAAGTTTGTGATTAATAAAAGCCACTTGTTGGATTTATAACTCGGAAATATTTGCACAAAGTAGAAGTGATTTTAGAAATTGTTCTAATTTCAACTTCAAATGAGTTATATTTCAGGAACAAGAAAGAATTGATTAGTTCATACAGAATTAACACTTACTCTTACTCTTGAACTAATTTGGATATATGATGGTGAAAGGATAATAATTACTCGGAATCTGTGCATGGAAAGGTGATGTCGATCACATGACTTTTCCTAACACTTGGGTGGTCATGATGCCTGGCTAGAGGCCAATCTTGATCTATAAATATAAATTTTTAATCTTAAAATTCTATTGGCTAATTGTCTTTAGTCCAAGTGGGAGTTTGTTGGTTTTATATCCAAAAGTCAATTAATACTAGGATTAATATTTATATTTATTGCCAACGTATTTTATAAACCTAAAGTGTCGCACACAATAGGATAATTAATTGGGATAAGTGAGGGATTATTTATATGATAAATTAATCACAAGAACTTATTAAATAAATAAGATATGGGCTTTATGGTAATTATCGAGACCTATAGTCTTATATAAATAAGTCACAGACATAAGTTCTGGAATTAATAAACCCTAGATTATAATCCAGAGAACTAGCCGTTATGTATTGTGTATGTATCCCTAGAATTGTTCGTGTGGATACCGTTAGAGCCCAGTGATATTCGATTGTTCGTGCCGGCAATTTTTAACATCTTTGCATAAATCTCAAAGCCCAGTGATATTGAATTTAATTTATTTTGACAATTGCTCTCAGTTATAGATCATATCTCTTTCCCATATGTTGACCGTGATCAAGTATTCCTTTTTTTTTTCCCCTCACAAATAAAGTTCAATTCGGTAATCTTTGATAGAATAGAAAATATTGTGTAATTATCTTCTATGAAAAGGATCACAATTATGTCTCTAATTGATAGTATAGAATGAGTTTAGATAAGAAAAATTCTTCCCATAGGAGTTGTGACATGAAACAAACATAAACAACCGCAACCTAGTCTCTTGCCAGAAAGGTAATGTCCGAAGTAGACAACTGCAGTATTGTCAAAATCTTGGGCATGAGGTCCCGACGTTTCTTCACAGAAGTTTGATTTGTGGTATAAAGGAATTGATGGCAAGAGACTGGATAGTAGAGCTCTCCCACGTGTTTAGGGAAGGGATTTTTGCAGCTGATTATCTCGCATCTTATGCGATAACAACAACATGGAGTTGTCAATATCTACAAAACCCACGTACGGGTCTTGGATATTGGCTTTGACATGATGTTTTAAGAGTAGAATATCCTAGAAGAGTTGTAATTTAGTTTAAGGCCTTGGCCTCCTTTATTACACCAAAAAAAAAAAAAAAACAACCGCAACCTACCCTTGGACTTATTTATTTATTCCTTGACTCGTGACAACCTAAGTATCCGCTAATTGCCCAAAACTTAATATGACAATTATGATTAAGATCGATGTAGTGTGGCAGAGGATATTATGGTACTCCCTCTGTCACAAAAATTATCGTGCAGTTTGAAATTTCATTTTTATTATAAAATAAACTAAAAGTGAAAATCTAAAATGAATAATAATTTTGGAACAGAGGAATATACTGTTTGCAACACACTTCAAACTTTCAATATTATGGTATACCATTTGCATTCACTTCTCAAGAGATGGTAATTACATTGGAGTATATATATTGACTAAAAAGCTCCACCTTCGACAGCTTTTCTTTACTATCGTTTCTGGAAGTTAAAAGTATTGATTGAGTAGGCGAAGATGAAACCAAAAAGCACAGCTATTCCTACATGAATTAGCGCAACATATCCTACAAAATCATGCTTGAATCCAAAGTAACTCCAAATGAAGTCTTGAACTGTCTCATTTGTATCAAGCTCATCCTTATAATCAGCAAACTGTGAAGCCACTAATCCGTATAAGGTCCAAGAAACCGGGCAAATGTAGTAATACCATCTCCACCAAACAGGGATCCTCTGCAAACAAAAAATCAGACCAAGATGATGATGAATAATTGGTTTTCTTAATGAATTCATAATTCATAAGTCACAATATGTAGTCACTTGGGAACTTACTGTTTTTGGAATTATGAATCCTGAGAAAAGGTTCCATACGGCGTAAAATGCTGATGAAACAATGGCGGCTATGTTTTGATTCGGCGTAAAACCCACCGTCATCATCCCATAGTAGGTGAAGTACAACAAAGTGAAGAACATGAAGAATATGTACCAGAGGAACTTGGCGATTGTCCAGTCGAAGCCGATCATTGCATACACTATGACTCCGTAAATCAGTGTTTGTACAAAATTATATGGAATCTCAATTACAACCTGGATGATGGGATCATTTTGTTAGTCTTGGTTCGCAAAACTTTTTACTGTTCTCAAATACATGTAATAACTATTTCATCTGTTTCATTCATCTTCATTTTCTGTTCACATGAATTTTCATTTCCAAATTCTGCCATTTATCTTAGCTATCCATCCTCCTGTTTTGGAAGATAACTACATGTAAGTTACCTGTCCGAAAGCGTATGGCAGAGCTGAATACATTCCTGCCGCCCTTTCTCTGTAGAAAACTGTTCTCTCAATGGCAACAACTGGCTGTACTGATGTTGCATTTTGGACTCCGAGAAACAACACCGCTGCATACATGGAACCCATTGCATTGAAGATATCTTGCTTGGTTTTCCTGAATTTATACATTAAGAAACATTGAAGAATTTTAGAAACAACTCATACAAAAGTAAGAAGAAAGTTCTACAACTTTATCCTCAATTTGAATACCTTTTCGAGCCGATGTTCCAGAAAATAGTTCCAAACATTATCGCGATGAAACTTGTGAACAAGAATCTCACAGCTGAATATGCTGGATTTCGCCAGTAAGATAAGTGCTGTTTCCAGAGGCATGCTATGCATTGGGTCAAAAAAGACTGGGAATATTGAGTTGGGAAGTAAAGATCTTTCGAACCAGGTGCCGGTTTACTGAGTTCCTTGATTAATTCTTTGTTTCTCCTGTTTCATTTCCAGTAAAACTTGTTCAGCATTATCATGACTGTAATTTCAAGGCACAAAAGTGCTTTATTCCTTCGAACCTGTATAGATCTGAGCTTTTATACACTTCTGAAAAGTTAATGCCAAGGGCTACTTCTTGTGCTGCTGAAGTAATCTCTAACATCCAAGTGGCAGGGTTATAACCATCTCTAATTTTACTGATTCCATTGATATCCTGGAAGAGAATCGCCATTAAGTAATAAACCAGATATGCTTAGTTATTTGCAATTATATTTGAAATCATTCTCACCTCAAAGTACTTGATGAGGTTGGAAGAATGCCGTCCTAATGGACCAACGTAGATCTCCTCTCCACCTCGTTTTAAGAGCAGAAGCTGCCATATAATTGTGTTAGTTCTTCAAAAAAAATGCACAATAAGAAGAAATCAGTATAGTACTCCTATGTAACTACGTTGAATAGTCACCTCATCAAAAGCGTCAAAAATGTCGATGCTTGGTTGATGGATGGTGCATACAACAGTCCGGCCAGTATCCACTGTATTTCTCACTGTTCTCATTACAATGGCTGCAGCTCTAGCATCCAGCCCTGAGGTTGGTTCATCCATAAATATTATGGATGGATTAGCTACTAGTTCAACTGCAACAGTAAGTCTTTTGCGCTGTTCAGTTGAAAGGCCATTTACTCCTGGCAATCCAACTAGCGAGTCCCTTAAAGGAGTCAACTCAATAAGCTCCATGACCTCTTCAACAAACATCTGCAAAATATCCATAAATCAAAACTGGATGCCTAGCTTCCAAGGGAGACACTAGTATATCAAGATGCCGAATTACCTTTCTTGTTGCATCGTCAACTTCAGGTGGCAATCTCAGCCAAGCAGAGTATGTTAAGGACTCATGTACAGTCACGTGTGGAGAGTGAATATCTGTCTGTTCACAGTATCCTGCTATACGAGCAAATGTTTCCTGCTTCTTAGGGTAGCCTGATATACAGATTTGTCCTTCAATATATCCTCCTGTTTTTCTTCCAGCCAAGACATCCATCAGAGTGGTTTTACCTGCTCCGCTGACACCCATAAGAGCTGTCAAAACTCCCGGCCTGAAAGCACCACTCACCCCTTTCAAAAGCTCGAGTCGATCTTCAGTAAAACCTTGAGCTTTCATTTCCTGCACGCAACAATGCACATCAATGGATTATTTGTTGAGCATTTTCCTCAAAATCTACATATGCAAGCCTACAAAACAAAAAAAAGTCAATAACGCTAAAGGAAGTTTATAGAAGCTGTTTTTTTGCATAGTTTAAAAAGCCAAGTTAATTTGTTGAATGAATTAATTTCCTGCATTAGTGTGCCTCCCTATTTTCCTTTTAGCAGCTTAATTAACATTTCAACAGCTGTAGAGAGATGGGGGAAGTTTCCAACAGAAGGCAAAATCAACCAATAAGGTGCATTTCATTTTTTATGTAATAAATGGAGCAAGATCAGCAAATTTTAGTGGTACCATTGGCATGTCTACTGCATATCTGATATCATCGAAAGTGATAGAAAGTGGTTCAAAAGGTAGAACCATCCCTCTTCTGGTTCGGTTTGTCTCGCTTCTACTGCCCACTCTTGATGACAATGACCGGGAAGAAACACTTCCGTCTAGATTTTCCATTTCTGCAAAATATTATAAATACCATATTAGTAGCAGAACGAGCCAAAACTTGGTCTTGACTCTAATCTGTTGATGTACCTAAAGTGCTTTTCTGTCTTGATGGTAACTTGGAAAGACTGTTCTTCCTTGAATCCTGACTCCTTTCTGAGTTTTCATTGGGTACAACTGAACGAGATTTACCAAATGCTGCAAAAAGAATTGTTGATTACTGGTCAGTTGAAGCTAATTCAAGACTCAAACATCCAAAATTTACAAAATTAAATTGATATAAATGGTAAACTTCTGTGTTTGCTTACGGTTAAGATAAGTTAGAGCCAAGGTGAATAGGAAATTGAAAAGTAGTAGATGTCCAATCAATGCTCCTACTCCAATCCAGTACCATTTTGCTTCTGTAAATAAACCACGGGATTTTAAGATGGACACGCCTAATGGTTCTGTGCCATTAGGAGGAACCTGAGAGACATAATTTTAAAAGAGACATTAAGCACCCTCAAAATACAGATTCTCCTGGTTCCATTCACTTATCAGAATAAGAAGATCCATACATGGTTCCAGCTTTTCCCAAGAAACTCATTGATACAAATAGCGTTCTGTGCATAAGTCATCGGAGAAAACCAGAACCCCCATATCCACCATTTCTTGATCTCATCTATGCATTAAGAAAAGATATGTTATCAAAATTTTGAATGAAAGACATGAACACATAACAGATACTGAAAACGTAAATCTGGTTCCCTGTTGCTCACCTTTTGATAAAATGAAACCCCCAAGAACAAAGACAGTTACCAATGCACAAGAACCAGCTGTATTTGCAACTATGACATTTCTTCCTACTCCTGCTATGAACCGAAATAATCCTGAGGCCACCTGGTTTATGAACACAAGTAGTAGGAAGTGTCTGAAAAACCTGCCATCATACATGTCAATTAGATTTACTTAAAAGATGAGGAGGAAACTGGAAAACTTAGTTTTTAACAGACATTAGCTGAACTCACAAATATTACCTTTGGATATCTGAATCAAATCCGATTGTATAGTAAGTCATACAGAGCCAAATTGCAGCTTCAGCAAATGTTATTGGGATCTTGAGAATCCATGTCGGCAAAGAGTACGCCCATGCTGGGAAGAAGAGAAGGTCCCTTTGTTTGTAGAATACAGGAAGCTTTAAGATACTCAAGGCCAGCTCTGAGAAACCATTGAACATAACCATACAGACTGAAAAAAACAAGGCACCAACATAAATTCCGCCATCTGTTACTGTTTTCTTGTGCATGTCAGTCCGCAGAAACACTGTCATAGCTAGGAATGCCATTGTGATAAGCTGCAGTGTGAGACTTGGTTAAGGACCTACACATCTAGAAGAGGCATATAAGTGAAGACTTTTGGACAGAAACTCACTTGTGTCATTTTAAATATGTAGACAAATGAATTCCTCTTCATAAGCAGGAACTCTCTTGCTGTGCAAGCCTTCAAGAGTTCCTTCTTGCTTGCCCCAAATCTTTTAGTGGTAAGGGCAGCTGGATGACTTTTGCTTTTATCAAAGGGAACAGCAAGTTCATCACCTAGTCTCCGTCCAACATGGAAGGACTGAAATGCTTCTGAGAATTCTCTTGAAGTAATGAAATTATAAGGTTCATCTCTTCTAGCCCAGTACTGCTCTTGATCTTTCCTTGATGTAACCTATGCTTATCATGAAAAAGTTCAAGTAAGACTAAAGACTCCTTGTTAACATGATAGAAGACAAGGAATATTTAGATAGATTACTTCTTGCAAAAAATCAGCAACAGCTTTCCTCTCTGGACATTTGAAGCCCATGTACTCAAAGAACTCGAGAACGTTTTCACGAGGACCTTGATACACTATCTCACCATCAGATAGAAGGATTACATCATCAAACAAATCGTAAGTTTCCGGTGCAGGCTGTAAGAGTGAAATTACTGTAGTTCCTTCAAGAATGTGGATCGATTGCCTAATTGCATTTACAATTTGGAATGTTGTTGAACTGTCCAAGCCAGTTGATATCTCATCCATGAAAAGAGCCCTGGCTGGTCCAACCATCATCTCTCCTACATCAAATTTGTTGAAATCAATTTTTGGGCTATATTACCCTCCTTTAATTGGAAGAAAGAGTAACCACTCTATTTTAAGAAAGAAACATGCAATCAGCTAATCTTTCAATTGAAACAATAATATGAGTAACCTTCACTGCCTTTGAATTTGCCAACGTATAAATGAAAATTTCTTGGTTTTGTTCTGTTGCAAAAAGAAAAACAATCTGCCACTCAAGGCAATCTCTTAGTTCTTTACCGGTTGTGACCCTCTTTCGCTGACCTCCAGAGATTCCTCTTATCATTTCATCACCAACCAAAGTATCAGCACAGATTTCAAGTCCTAGAACCTGAAAACATAGAAGGTTCAGTATGATAACTCCACTTCCTTATGTCTACATATTTGGCTAATAATAGTTTCAGGTTTTACCTTCAGAACATAATCTGTTACAACACTCGCTTCCTGCCCCTCTAGTGATGCTGCCTGATAAACAAAGTGCAATGACATCAACAACACTTTTTTCTACAAATTTCATAGCATCTCAGCAAGTGACTATCCATGGGAGTCAAATTTCCCTCAAAAGTACTCCCATACCTTCATGAACATGTCAATATCAGGGTCTGGTTTTATATTTGCTTCCTTCTCCCGTCTAGACAGTTCAACCAACATGTCTGAATAACATAACAATTTAAAGACTGAATTTCAGGCCAGCATTCCAGTCAAGAAGTATAAGTCTGACAAACAAACTACATAAATTAAACTTACCATAGCGCGGTCCAACACCTTGACATCTTGCTGAAAAGGCTAGAGTTTCCCTCACAGTTAGTTCTCCCATATGAAGATCATATTGACTAATGTAAGCAGATGTCCTTTCAGGCACAAACTCATTCATTTCATGACCATTGTATGTCACTCTTCCAGAAACCTGTCGAAACAAAGGAGATTCACATTAGGACATACGGAAATGCGTCATGGCTACACTGTACCGCAAACAACTGGAACAAACAGACATTCAATTCCCTTACTTTCAGATCTGAATCAGATTTTCCAGCCAAAGCTAAGAGCAAAGTAGTTTTCCCAGAGCTTGGAGGACCTAAAAGTAAGGTCATTCTGCAAAAAGAAATTACTTGAGCCACTAATTCATCAGCTAAACCAGCTCTGATACTTGTAATATAATCTTCTAACCTTCCAGGCTTGATGATTCCACTAACATCACGAAGGATTGTCAACTTTTTCTTCCTACTCGGTAGAATGTAAAGATAATCTAAGAAGCCCTTTTCACGGAGGAAAATATTCAGAAAGAGAATAAGTAAGCATATCAGAAACTATCTTGTAACTAAAACTTTTTGCACCATCTTCTAAATCAAAAATAGCATAATCACCTCAATCATGTTAACAGTGAAATTGAACATGGTTGGCAATGCTCTGCCACTAGCTCGAGCTTGTGCTTCTATGTTCAAATGCTCAAACCGGACTTCAATTGTGGGAAGACTAATACCAACTCTACATTTCAGAACAAAAAAAGACATTCAGAAAACAAAATTCATTGATAAGGAAATGATCAACAGAGGGAACATAAAATCTACCTGTCCATTCGTTTCTTGAGCTTCAACAAGAACTTCTCATTGTCTTCCTCAGCAATCTTCACTAATCTCTCCACAAGATTCCTCCTTTCAACTTCTCCAAGATTCTCCACATCAATCTCTTTGGACCCTTGTTCCTCAGTCCAAATGCCTCTCCTTATTCGAAGGTAAGTTGGGAGCTTTTCAATGGCAGCCCATTTTAATGCTTCTTCATCATCATATTCTACAGAGGACCTAGAAAACACATCCATCCCACTATTCCTCCATATATTTGAACTACTCAAACGTGCACTACTCGCTCTAAATGAAGCTCCTTCCATCTTTAACTTTTCAATGAACCAACAAACAAAGAACAAAACTTTCCCTCATGAACTGCAGCAATTTTTTTTTCTTTTTTTGGCTGAAAGGGCTTAAAAGCACGAAAGCTAGCAGCTTAATTTCATAATGCAGCAAAAGGGATGAATTGAAGTGGCATTTTTAATACGTCCCTCCAAACATTTGTTTGTATTCTAGAAGACTATTGATTTTTGGAGGGACTCTGATTCTGAGGGAAACGAATATCAAGGTGGTTTGATCCTTGTACATTATTTATATAGTAGAGTAGTATTATTATATATATATATATATATATGACATTTTTGAAATTGAAATGATGATGAAGTGTGCAAGTTACAAAAAGAAGAAGGTGGTCAACTTTGAAGATGCAAATTAGTGGTTGAATTGCTCTGATTCAGTTAGGCAAAAAAACACATTGGCTGAATAAAAAAATTGACCTTTTAGTAGCTGTTCTTTTACTTCCAAGTATGCACTATATGTGTAGTTCTTACGATGCCAATCTGTCTACCTTGATTTTCTTACTTGTAATCTGCAAACTGCAAACTCATTCCACATAGAAGAGAACATGTCCTCTTTCCCAAAGCAGTAGCACTTATTTATAGTATTATGAATTGTGTAATTAAATTATACTACCTCCATCCCACAAAAACAGTCCTAATTGAGTTTTCAAATTTGTACTAAAAATAATACAAAACTCAAAACTCAATGTGAACTATTTTTTTTTTGGACGGAGGGAGTAGTATTCTTAGTGAATGCTTAATATTAAATTAGAAATACTAAATCATTAAATAGTTACGGAATAAGCAATAACTTGACTTTTTTTACTTATATTTTATACTGCAGTTACAGAATCCCTTAATTCGTTAAGAGGTTCATTTTAAATTATCAAACATGTTTAAATAAAAAAGTAATTAGTGAAATAATTTTAAGCACTAAGTGGCGTTATCAAACAGTCCCTTAGACTCGAAAAATAATCTTAGGATGAGACTTTGAATAGTTACAAGTATTGTGAGAGCGATAAAAGAAAATAAAACGGTACAAAAATACTCCCAGTATTCTTTAAAAAAAAAAATTGTAGGGAATAATACAATTTGTTACACGATCATAAATACCCGTTTTTCTCTAAACTAAATTCCATTCGACGCACCTAAAAGATCAATTTAATACCTTTTACCAGATTAGGACCACATTTTCTCTGTCCATTCTTCTCAATAAAGTGGAAGTTAATTGGAACAGATGAAATTGAATAGCAGATAGGCTTGGGATAATTAAAATTTCTCTGAAATTAGCCTATGATTTGTCGTTTTATCCGGCAGTTTATGCACCCAAATTGATTCAGAATCAAACAATCACTGGAGTCTAAATCTTAACACTTAACACTTAACACTTAAGTTTGAAGTCTGAAGACTAAATTTACACTGTTTGATAAAAACGTCTGAATTTGAAAACTTTAGTCTGAAGACTGAAGCTGAATACTCTGGTCTGAAAGTTATTTAAATTTTTAATATCATTGAAATTGAATTATAAACAAAATTCTTTTAAATAGAAAAATAACTAATATTTTGTTCTAAATAATAAAACAATAATTTTAAAATAAATTTTTAGTATATATATAATGAAAGTAGATAGTACACTTGGTAAATAATCAATATATAATTATATTTAGATTATTTATATATTTTAATATATATGTATACCTTGTTATTTAGAAAATTTTATGTATTAATTTGAGTATCAAAGTTCAAAATTTTTATACTCATAATATAAATTCAAATTTAAGCACTATTAATTAATTTATCTTAAGAAAAAAATTAAAACAAAGTAAAAATAAGCGTCGAAATAAAGACGAGTGAAAAAAAAAGAGTCATTACAGAAATTAAGTGTTAAGTGATAAGTGATAACTGGCTCACAATTGAACCGGCCCTTCAGACGCACTTAATTAATTCAGATAGTGAAATTTTAGTTATTAAACGCGCTTAATTTATAAGTACTTAATTAGTTCAGAACTTAATTCATAAGACTTTTAAGTAGTGATTATCAAACACACTTAATTTCATTAAGTACTTAAATAAATTAAGTCACTATATTAAGTGATAATCAAACAGAGCTTAAATTTCAATATATTAAAATGTTGTACCAAGAGCGACCTTCCAGATCAAGATTTGCGCAAGCAGATTAAGACAATCATGATTAAGGTTGACATTAACTCACTAAAATACATCTAAATCGCATCAAGATAACCTAACAAAAGGGAATATTTTCAAGGGAGTATTTGGAGATAACATATATATTCCATCTCCCTGTAAATACAATCTCCATATTTTACTTCCTACTTGCTTTACTATATTTGTTTCAAACAAAGATCGTTTTCCTTTGAGGGGGCAAACCTTTTTGTTCATCAACCGTCTGATTTAACTTCTCCATTTTTTGCATTTAATTTAGCATAGGAATATTCCGAACTCTATAGTACCTTTTAAACACTTACTTATTCCTCTCAAAAAAAATATTTAATTCAACAAAATAAATTATTTTTCCTGATAAAAATTTAAAACCCAAATCATGCATTTGTTGGTCAATTAATTTTAACTTACTTTACGTTGTTACATCATTTTCTTACTTAATTTGCTGACTATTTTGAAGTCTTAATAACATCATATTTTTAATCGGAAGATCCCACTTGATTGATTGATTGATTAGTACGTTTCTCGTAATTTTTGCGTCGTCTAGTGCAACAAGAATCTGAAGTACGTCGTAATCGCATATATGTGATCGATCTTCTTCAGGAATGGGACAACGAGGGAAAACTGCATCGTCAAAGACTACTTGGTTGTTGTTAGAAGTTAATTATCCAGCACATTATTAGTCTATAAGTTGGAGTCAATTTTTTTCCATCTTTATCTGAATTCATTTCATTGGTCGGAACTTACCTAAAGTTGGGTTAGGACAATGGTGATTGGTTTGGATGAGAAATGGTGATATAAACCTAAGTCTAAGTCGACATTATTTTGTTTTGCTAGTGATCAGTTTAAACTTTTGAAAATAGGACTGTATAAATCAAGCTACTGATTTGTGGTCTAGGTGCTTGTAATAATGTGTATCAAAAAACAAAAAAAAAAAAAACAACAAAAAAAAAAAACCTGAATTGCGGTCAAAGTGACAACAAATTTCTAAGGTTAGATCTGTTTCGAGTTTGATTATATGAATGGAGAATGATATTTGTTGGGAAGCTTATGTTTCAGATGAATTATACCTTGTAAAAACCGAATAAAAACTTACTTGGAGATGAACTAATGGAACAGTTATTGATGTGCTAAAATTGTAAACTCAATTTTGTTTTATATAAAAATAAAATTTGATTTATTATCACAATTCATTTCATTGGTCGGGTTGGTTAATTACACGAGAAGTGATGCTACAAGCTATATCAACGAGTCTCTGTCGACATTATTGTTTAGTTATATGTATTATTGAGTTTGAACTTTTGAAGTACTTCCATAACATGCATATCAAACAGTTAATTTTGGGTCATATATATGGTAGGCAGTTTTGTATTCTTCTGCCAAAAAAAAAATTTTTAAAATTGAAATATTGCATTTACACACAGAGTAATACTTGTTGGGAGGCTTTTTATTCTCAAAAAAATTTTACTCAGATCGAATAAGCTAGTAGTGGAGTATGATAAGCGGCACTTGAGAAAACCGTGCCTCGTGGTTTCTTCTTTGATCCAAATTGCAGTCACTAACTTAAATTAGCTCATTCTGTCAGCCTGTTTGTCCCAACATAAACATTAGTTACTTAAGGACATTTTCCATTCCACTTATAGAAGAAGACAAATATGTAGACCGATTTATTTATAAATTTTTAATCTAAATAATTCATTTTCTCAACTCGTATGTCGTTCACTTATTGGTTATTTTTTCGCAAAGACGGGACACATTGTTATATTCTTCTCGATGTTTAATATAAGTCATTTTAATTTATTTTAGGTATTACCTAATACGTATTTTAAATTAACGAAAAAATTTTAAAAATATTTCATAACAACCAAGAGAACATGACGAATGTGAAAAATATTTTAAAGGTTTTTTCATCAATTAAAAATGCGTATTAGGTGAAACTTGGAATAAATCAAAATGACTTATATTAAGAACCGGAGGGACGTAGTATGTCATTCCGAAATATAAGTGCGAAATTTTTGGCAGGTCTATGAATTTAGATATTTGATTTTTGTGTCACTCCTACGACATCTATAGGGGGGAATTAAATGTTTCTAAACTCAACCAAGTAACTCCGAAAATAGCCCACCTCCTTCTCCTCCAAGAAAAATGGAAACACGAAGAAGTAGAAACGCATAATTTCAGTGGAGTACATCAACAAACTAAAGAGGAGGATGAGGATTTAAAGAGGCGTGAATTGAGCTCATGTAATCTTGTTTGTTAGGTTTTTTTGTATATATATATATATATAATTTTGTTTCTTTTGCGTTCTCCAATTCCAATGATGAATGAATGATGAGTCTAGTTTCAATTTAGTAGTAAATCAGCAATTAACTAATGCTATCATCGGTCAATCGATCGGTTGTACATCTAGAAGAACCTGACATTTATTTATTTGGTTTTTTTTTAAAAAAAAAAAAGAAAGAAAAGAGAATGATATAGCTTATAAACGAATCTACGTAAGCATGCATGTTGGAAATGGAGTTGTTAAATTTGATCGGCCGGTTATCGTCAGGGTATTCTTTAATATGGAATAATGATTATTAATTGTTTATTTGGAATGAAGTCATATGCAGTTTCCATAGACGTTTGAGCTTACCTCACAATCTCAATTCTCCCATAATTTTCAAAGTTAGTGATAATTGAAATGATCAGCTGACGCGCTAGCTAGCGAGGTTTGATGCTCCTTGTTCTATCTCAGCTTTGTATATATATAGAACGATATAAATGACTCATATCACTCATTTCATTGTTTTATTCCAAGGGTG